TATAAGAAAAATCTCTCTAGAGAACTAATCATAGGAAAGACTGAGGTGGTAAAATAGTATTAATCGCGCTTGACGACACCTTCTCCTCGTACATCGAATCTTGCAGATGTCGTAATTTTTCTTACTCATAACATGATGGTAGCTTATTATGGCTTTGGTTGATATTGTGATATTCGGGGGGGTCGTTGAGAGGGCGTGAAAGTTCGAAAGACACGCATGTGAGTCGATTTTCAATCACATTGCCTCATTTACACGCCCCCACGTGGGGATTAAACCCTATAATTTAGGATAGGTGCCCTGACCTGGGTATCAAAACCCACAACATTTTGGTGTATAAGACAACACTTCCAACAAGTAGAGCCACCCAGCCAGGGCAAGAGGGCAGGTATTTTATCCTTTTGCTCATTTCTGTATTTCCAGTGCTTAGAACAGTGCTTGTCATATAGAAAGTGCTCAATAAACATTTGTTGAAACAATAATCAGATTATGTATGCAAGCAGCCCAGCTCCAAAAAGTCTGATTTTGCCAACATTGTTTTCTGTCTCCTCCCAGGATACCATTGGGGTCACTGCTCTCCCTCTGGGCTATGGCGCCACTGAGTCAGCTGAGTGGTTACATCAACTCCACCTGCGGGACAGACAACTTCACGGGGGACAACCAGGCTCGCCCACATGCCTACTATGCCCTGTCCTACTGTTCGCTCATCCTTGCCATTGTCTTTGGCAATGGTCTGGTGTGTGTGGCTGTGCTGAGGGAACGGGCCCTGCAGACCACCACCAACTACCTGGTAGTGAGCCTGGCTGTGGCAGACTTGCTGGTGGCCACCTTGGTGATGCCCTGGGTGGTGTACCTGGAGGTGAGTGAGCTCAGGTTCCAGCTGCCCATGTGACTGTATTTGTCCTTGTCTTCCTTGAGCTCCGGGCCTTCTGGGCTCAAAATGCTCCTTTCTGGGACCTGTGGTCTGGGGAAGGAAGGAGAGCTCCTGACCTCCCTTTCATGAGGGAGCTGAAGATTTTGAGAATAGTCCTTATCCAGCATCACTTGCATACATCAGAACCAGGGAGCTGGGAGTGAGTCTGTTCCCAGGGCTCCAGTATCCAGGTAACCAGACTTGAGTGATGGGACTCATCTTTAAAATGCATGAAGTTGACTCTCCGTACCAGGCAGGTCTCAAAGACATGAGGGGTTGGGGAAGACAGTCAAAAGACACCTTCATCAGTACATAGGAGTGAGAGTGTACAGGAGGGATTCAGGAGAAGGTGGGGGGAGGACAAAAGGAATTATAGAAAAAAATGAATGAATGAGGAGAAAAAGTCTGCAAATAGATCAGACTTCTTTAGATAGTTCAGCTGCCCTCAGACTTAGTTCTTTCTTCCTGGGTATCAGCTCTCCACAGACTGCTGCCGAAGGAACAGACCAAACCTTCAAAGTTGTGTATATACATATATATTTAAATACTAGAGGCCCAGTGCACAAAAATTCGGGCGGGTGGGGGGGGTCCCTCAGCTACTCCAATCTGCACCCACTCCAATCCGGGAGCCCTCAGGGGATGTCCTACTGGCCTCCAGTCTGCCCTCCCTCTGCAAGAGGCAACTGGGCTGACCAGGGGAAGGTGCCACCCCCATCACCCCACTGCCGCTGCCACCAAGGTGTTTTCATCAACACAGACTCCAGTCCCTTCACCACAAAAAAATGACAACTTTCTTTAGGCATTTTCAAGATGTCTCTTTTATAGGATATGACATTGCTTTCTTTCTTTCTTTCTTTTTATCCTCACCTGAGGATATTTTTCCATTGATTTTTAGAGAGTGTGGAAGAGAGAGGAAAACATCAATGTGAGAGGGACACTTTTATTGGTTGCCTCCTGCATGAGCCCTGACCTGAGCCCCGGCCAGGGAGGAGCCTGCAACCGAGGTACATGCCCTTGACCAGAATCAAACCCGGACCCTGCGGTTGGCAGGCCGAGGCTCTATCCACTGAGCCAAACTGGCTAGGGCAGGATATGACATTTCTTAGCCCCTCCAGCAGCGGACCTTCATTTTTTTTCCTCCAAGAGTGTGGTGGAAAAACCCTAGATCACCTTCTTGGATTCTTATTACACAAGTTACCAAGAACACTAAGAGTGGCGTACCAGGAGCTTAGCCAATGAGCTGTCAGAAAAGGTGTTTCCTCTGCAGCTCATGCACAGAGGCGGGACTGCCGGCGTGCCCTGGCTGGCAGGCCCTGTTCTCTGCGGGAGGGCCTGCTCTTTGCCACAGCGGCTCGGCTCGCAGGCAGACTTGTTCTCTGTGGGCAGGCCCTGCTCCCTGCTCTCTGTGGGCCTGCACCATCCATGGCTTGCTTCACTGCGCATCAGTCCCTTCCCGCCCACCTGTGTGCACAGCCTCCTCCTGAGTGGTCGTGACTGTTATGGTGTCCCGGCTAATTTGCATATTACCTCTTTATGTTTTTATTGATTTTAGAGAGAGAGGAAGGGAGAAGGGGAGAGGGAGACATCGATGTGAAAGAGAAACATCCATTGGCTTCCTCCTGCATGCCCCCTACTGGACATTGAGCCTGCAATCCAGACATGTGCCCTGACTGGGAATTAAACTAGTGCAAGGGAGGATGCCTAACCAACTGAGCTACACCAGCCAGGCCTAAATTTATATGAGAGAAGTATTTCTTAAATTTGAAAGTATTTTCATTCAAAAGTGTAAAGTAGAGTCAGGAGGTGATCAAGAGAAAACATCCATTTGCTAACAAAGAAATCAGGGTGCCTACAACTGTTCAAGAAATAGATATTCTTACCGAGAAAACATGCAATTTACTAAAGAGTTTTCTTAAAGACAACTTAATATACTATTCATATTTCTCCTCTGCACTGTGTATCATTCTAAAGAGGTATCCAATGAAGGATCAAAATGATGCTATGATTAAGAGAAATTAAAATTCATCAAATTAATATCTCAGTTAATATTAATAGTGAAGATGACAGTTAATTAAGTATGACATATCACGGGAGAGCAAAAACCTCCAACATAGACTGCCTAGGCTGGTTTTTGTATTAAAGAATGACTGGGAACTAAAATTAGACTTATGATCTCAACAGGAAGGTATTAAAAAAAAGAAAGTAACGAAGAAAAGGAAAAGAAGAAAAACAACTAGGATGATTACGAATAGATTTAACAGCTCAAGCAGCAATTTTTAACCATTTTCATCTCATGGTATGCATAGACTAATTACTAAAATTCTGCAGCACACCAAAAAAAATATGTTGGGTTTTTTTTTGTGTGTTTTTTTTTTGCTGATCTGACCAAAAAAATAGGTATAATTTTTATTGATTTACCAAAATAATATAATAATAATAGTAAATACCTACACTTTTTGCTCCAAAGTGACTTTTTTAAAAAAAATCAGGTGCCTACATAAAGATTGCTGGTACCAAGAATTATCAATCAGACGCAACTTTATTAGGCGACATGACCACTAAGATGCAACTCTATTTTATGACATATATTTATGGTTCGAGACAGGGCATTCACACCAGATGGCTATTGCTCTGTTGGTTGTTGTCATTTTTTTATTTGACAATCTAGGGGAAAAGAGGTCAGTGACCCTGACTCAATATTCAGGTATTGCATGTTTTAAAAATTCTTGCGGTACACTGGTTGAAAATCGCTGGGCTAAGAGACTACTCGGAGGGAAAAATATGCATTTATTCTTCCCAGTTAGGATAATCCTGATGGCAAAGGGTCTTGTAATTATCTTGACTTTTCTGTCAACCCAATTAGTCTGAGACAGTCTTAAAGTCAGAGGCTATGTGTTCTTTTTTCCTGTAGTCCAAACACACTGGTACATCATATGTGCTAAATAAATATTTGAGACATGAATGATTAAATGAATCTTTTCTGCAATGTCTGCATTACATGGTCAATTCCTGTTATATCGGTTGCTGCTGTGCCTATTATAACCATGAACTATTTTTTTAACATTCAATAATAATGAGGCTGAAAAGGAGTTAAAAGCATGTGATATTTCGGTTCAAAAGTGGGGCACACTTTAGGTGCTATAACTTAGTGTGGGTTAGTAATAATTCAGCACACCACCATCCACCCACCAAAATGTTTCTGTCCATCCCTATACCTTACAAGGATTCTTAAGTCTTTCGGAAAGATGAACGTCAGAAACAAATGCAGGAAGAGGACTTTCAGTCTAATAAGCATTTTAATTGCCTCTGACCAGGGTTTTCGTGTCTGTGACTAGGTCACTCAGGTGTACGCTTTGGCTGTCCATTTGTGATTGCTTCCAGGACTCTGATGAACCATATAGAAATTCTCTGTAGATATTGGTGTAGGAGAGGCATAGTGTGACTTTTCCACACAGATACTAAGGCGGCCCCTCTAGCCACACCTGCCAAAAATGATAATGCCCCCTTCTGCTGAGTGTGAAGGACAACTGAGTCTGCAGAGGGCAGGCGTGAGATTTTGCCAAAGGCTCAGTGAACCCCCTGCAGGTTGGATTTATGTGTTTTCTCCTAAGAAAAGAATTCTGGTGGAGCCCTTGGTCTCCCCTCATGAAAACCAATATGCCCTCTGGTGTAAGGGTTCAGTCATCAAGAGCATGGACCAGCCGTAACCGGTTTGGCTCAGTGGATAGAGCGGCGGCCTGCGGACTGAAGGGTCCCAGGTTCGATTCCGGTCAAGGGCATGTACCTTGGTTGCGGGCACATCCCCAGTAGGGGGTGTGCAGGAGGCAGCTGATCGATGTTTCTCTCTCATCGATGTTTCTAACTCTCTATCTCTCTCCCTTCCTCTCTGTAAAAAAAAAATCAATAAAATATTTTTTTTTAAAAAGAGCATGAACCAATACGCCTACAATAATAGAAAGAAGATCTGAGGCAGCAGAGACATCTCCCCACTGAGAAATGGGCTTTAGCGCCTGTATGTGGTCCTTCTCACTTGCTCCTAGGCTCTTGTCAATGCACCTGAATGTCTCTGCGTCACTCCCTCCAACAGTCCACTCAGGATAGGTGGGGACTGCAGAGGGAAAAAATAGCCATTCGCCCTAGCTGGTTTGGCTCAGTGGATAGAGCGTCGGCCTGTGGACTGAAGGGTCCCAGGTTCGATTCCGATCAAGGGCACATGGCCAGGTTGCGGGTTCAATCCCTAGTAGGGGCATGCAGGAGGCAGCCAATCAATGATTCTCTCTCATCATTGATGTTTCTATGTCTCTCTCCCTGTCCCTTCCTCTCTGAAATCAATAAAAATGTATTTTTTTAAAAAATAGCCATTTCCGTAGAGTGGCTCGAAACTTCTCACTAAGGGACTTCACTTAAGTCTAATTGGCCAGAAATGGATCATAAAGCCACTTTTGGCTGAAATGGACAATAGAAAAAAAAGTGAAAATGTGGATTTCATTGAAAAAGATGTGAAGCCCTGGCCAGTGGCTCAATGGTTAGAGCACCGACCCTTGCACCAAAGAGTCTTGGATTGGATTCTCTCTTGTGATATTTAATGCACTTATGTAAGAACAGAAAGGCAACCTAAGCAGCCAGGGCACCATCTGGAATATTAAACTCAAAGTGCTTGGGTCACAGTGTGGACAACCTGGGTTGCAGGTTTGATCCCCAGCCCTCTCACATAGATGTTTCTCTCTCTCTCTTTCTCTCTCTCTCTCTCCTCTCTCTCTCTCTCTCTCTCTCTCTTCCTCTCCCTCTCCCTCTCCCTCTCCCTCTCCCTCTCCCTCTCCCTCTCCCTCTCCCTCTCTCCCTTGCACTCTTTCTTAAAATCAATGGGAAAAATATCCTTGGGTGAGGATTAACAAAACAAAAAAGATGGGGAGGCAAGGAATTGCTGTGAGGTAGGCAATGAAATG